GATAGAGGGCCATGAGACTTAGACCTGAGTGCAAAAATGGAGGCTCTAGCCCCTTCCAGAGCTGAGATATCGAAACTCAAAAATTCGGCCCGAAAAAAAAACGACAGTGGTACCCCTTACGTTTTTTTTTTTGGGCGAAAAATTAAGTTTCTCCAATCTTCCCAAATTCTGATAGAGGGCCATGAGACTTAGACCTGAGTGCAAAAATGGAGGCTCTAGCCCCTTCCAGAGCTGAGATATCGAAACTCAAAAATTCGGCCCGAAAAAAAAACGACAGTGGTACCCCTTACGTTTTTTTTTTGGGCGAAAAATTAAGTTTCTCCAATCTTCCCAAATTCTGATAGAGGGCCATGAGACTTAGACCTGAGTGCAAAAATGGAGGCTCTAGCCCCTTCCAGAGCTGAGATATCGAAACTCAAAAATTCGGCCCGAAAAAAAAACGACAGTGGTACCCCTTACGTTTTTTTTTTTGGGCGAAAAATTAAGTTTCTCCAATCTTCCCAAATTCTGATAGAGGGCCATGAGACTTAGACCTGAGTGCAAAAATGGAGGCTCTAGCCCCTTCCAGAGCTGAGATATCGAAACTCAAAAATTCGGCCCGAAAAAAAAACGACAGTGGTACCCCTTACGTTTTTTTTTTGGGCGAAAAATTAAGTTTCTCCAATCTTCCCAAATTCTGATAGAGGGCCATGAGACTTAGACCTGAGTGCAAAAATGGAGGCTCTAGCCCCTTCCAGAGCTGAGATATCGAAACTCAAAAATTCGGCCCGAAAAAAAAAACGACAGTGGTACCCCTTACGTTTTTTTTTTGGGCGAAAAATTAAGTTTCTCCAATCTTCCCAAATTCTGATAGAGGGCCATGAGACTTAGACCTGAGTGCAAAAATGGAGGCTCTAGCCCCTTCCAGAGCTGAGATATCGAAACTCAAAAATTCGGCCCGAAAAAAAAACGACAGTGGTACCCCTTACGTTTTTTTTTTTGGGCGAAAAATTAAGTTTCTCCAATCTTCCCAAATTCTGATAGAGGGCCATGAGACTTAGACCTGAGTGCAAAAATGGAGGCTCTAGCCCCTTCCAGAGCTGAGATATCGAAACTCAAAAATTCGGCCCGAAAAAAAAACGACAGTGGTACCCCTTACGTTTTTTTTTTGGGCGAAAAATTAAGTTTCTCCAATCTTCCCAAATTCTGATAGAGGGCCATGAGACTTAGACCTGAGTGCAAAAATGGAGGCTCTAGCCCCTTCCAGAGCTGAGATATCGAAACTCAAAAATTCGGCCCGAAAAAAAAACGACAGTGGTACCCCTTACGTTTTTTTTTTGGGCGAAAAATTAAGTTTCTCCAATCTTCCCAAATTCTGATAGAGGGCCATGAGACTTAGACCTGAGTGCAAAAATGGAGGCTCTAGCCCCTTCCAGAGCTGAGATATCGAAACTCAAAAATTCGGCCCGAAAAAAAAACGACAGTGGTACCCCTTACGTTTTTTTTTTTGGGCGAAAAATTAAGTTTCTCCAATCTTCCCAAATTCTGATAGAGGGCCATGAGACTTAGACCTGAGTGCAAAAATGGAGGCTCTAGCCCCTTCCAGAGCTGAGATATCGAAACTCAAAAATTCGGCCCGAAAAAAAAACGACAGTGGTACCCCTTACGTTTTTTTTTTTGGGCGAAAAATTAAGTTTCTCCAATCTTCCCAAATTCTGATAGAGGGCCATGAGACTTAGACCTGAGTGCAAAAATGGAGGCTCTAGCCCCTTCCAGAGCTGAGATATCGAAACTCAAAAATTCGGCCCGAAAAAAAAACGACAGTGGTACCCCTTACGTTTTTTTTTTGGGCGAAAAATTAAGTTTCTCCAATCTTCCCAAATTCTGATAGAGGGCCATGAGACTTAGACCTGAGTGCAAAAATGGAGGCTCTAGCCCCTTCCAGAGCTGAGATATCGAAACTCAAAAATTCGGCCCGAAAAAAAAACGACAGTGGTACCCCTTACGTTTTTTTTTTGGGCGAAAAATTAAGTTTCTCCAATCTTCCCAAATTCTGATAGAGGGCCATGAGACTTAGACCTGAGTGCAAAAATGGAGGCTCTAGCCCCTTCCAGAGCTGAGATATCGAAACTCAAAAATTCGGCCCGAAAAAAAAAACGACAGTGGTACCCCTTACGTTTTTTTTTTGGGCGAAAAATTAAGTTTCTCCAATCTTCCCAAATTCTGATAGAGGGCCATGAGACTTAGACCTGAGTGCAAAAATGGAGGCTCTAGCCCCTTCCAGAGCTGAGATATCGAAACTCAAAAATTCGGCCCGAAAAAAAAAACGACAGTGGTACCCCTTACGTTTTTTTTTTGGGCGAAAAATTAAGTTTCTCCAATCTTCCCAAATTCTGATAGAGGGCCATGAGACTTAGACCTGAGTGCAAAAATGGAGGCTCTAGCCCCTTCCAGAGCTGAGATATCGAAACTCAAAAATTCGGCCCGAAAAAAAAACGACAGTGGTACCCCTTACGTTTTTTTTTTTTGGGCGAAAAATTAAGTTTCTCCAATCTTCCCAAAACTCTGGATTCTGATAGAGGGCCATGAGACTTAGACCTGAGTGCAAAAATGGAGGCTCTAGCCCCTTCCAGAGCTGAGATATCGAAACTCAAAAATTCACCCCGAAAAAAAAAACGACAGTGGTACCCCTTACGTTTTTTTTTTTTCGGGCGAAAAATTAAGTTTCTCCAATCTTCCCAAAACTCTGGATTCTGATAGAGGGCCATGAGACTTAGACCTGAGTGCAAAAATGGAGGCTCTAGCCCCTTCCAGAGCTGAGATATCGAAACTCAAAAATTCGTCCCGAAAAAAAAAAACGACAGTGGTACCCCTTACGTATTTTTTTTCACTCAGGTCTAAGTCCCATGGCCCTGTATCAGAATCCAGAGTTTCAAGAAGATTGGAGAAACTTGAAAGGGGTACCACTGTCGTTTTTTTTTTTTTTGGGTCGAAATTTTAAATTTCTCTGATCTTCTTGAAATTCTGGATTCTGATAGAGGGCCATGGGACTTAGACCTGAGTGCAAAAATGGAGGCTCTAGACCCTTCCAGAGCTGAGATATTGAGATCCCACGTAGCATGTATGCCATTATACATATCTCAATATCTCAGCTCTGGAAGGGTCTAGCCTCCATTTTTGCACTCAGGTCTAAGTCTCATGGCCCTCTATCAGAATCCAGAGTTTCAAGAAGACAAGAAGATACCTGTATGTGTGTTTACAGGGGTTTCACGTCAGATACCTGTCCTAACTGTACATGTGTATCAGATACCTGTGTGTGTGTTTACAGGGGTTTCACACGAGATACCCGTCCTAACTGTACATCTGCATCAGATACCTGTGTGTGTGTGTTTACAGGGGTTTCACACAAGATACCTGTCCTAACTGTACATGTACATCAGATACATGTGTGTGTGTTTACAGGGGTTTCATGGAACAAACACGTCACAATATTCCTCATTTAAATAATTCCTGCCCAAGGCATACGCAAAATAAAGGGGAGAGGCCTGGTTGAGTGATATTAATAGGCTGTCCCAATTCGAAGGACTCGAATTTTAACTCACTAAAAACAAAACAGGGATCACAACCTGTCTAAATATGTTCAGGTTTAGCCCATTTATATACATAATAGAGTATAAACTATTTTAACTATATAGTATAAACTATATGAAATCGCATCTTGGTAAGATGTCAACATTTGAACCGCTTTATTTTTTTACATAGTATTATTATATATTCGATTAAGTTGAAGGCTAATACTTTTAAAAGTGTAATCCGCCTAATCCGTGCAATTTCTGTAAAAAAAAAAATCTTAATTTTTGAGTGTGAAATTTATTTTTTTAAAAAGTCGTCATTAGCCTGCAATTAATTCTAGGGTACACAAGGGCGCGAGGAATCCATCCGTTTATCCTTCATTTCTCAGAACGCAAAGGACGCATTTGGAGCCTTTAAACTGGGACAGCCTTTGTTGCAGCGTGGCGATGCAATCGGCCTTCGAAAGATGCAGCCTCTGAATTGGGAATTTGGGACACATTGTTAGTTTGTTGAAACACGTTTATGGAAAAGGCCATGACATTTTGCAAACACCCTCAAAGCGGTTGACCAATCACAAAACACTGGTCCAGCCGACCAATCAGAGCACATTGCGCTTTCTGGGAGGAGGGGCTTCATAGAGACCAGAACTAAACTGGGCTGCTTTTCCCGTACAACGACGTAACTGCTTAACTAGTTTAATGCATCTTTGAAGAAACCAACTAACTAGTCTTTAGTTTTCCGAAACCATATTGTTGCAAATTGATCGTTCAACCACGTTGATTAATGATGTCACGCACGTGGAGGAGTAATACTACTACTTTCAATTAATCTGTTTGAAATCAGAAAAATGCTAGATGATTTGCTATTTCTACTATTTCTCATTTTTCTCGGTTATTTTGCCTTGTTTCCAGAATCAATCATAGGCTGGTTCTTACATACGTTTGCACATCCGCACTCTTCAAAAACTGTGCTTTAAATCTCGACAAACTAAACGACGTAAATTACATTTGTATGTATTCTAAATAAGACACTGACTGTACTCAATAAGCTTACTTATTGAGTTCACATTCATGCTCAACAAGAAAGTTCTAACCACAGGTCGAGAGCTGTCGTTCGAACCACACAACTTTGCAATGCTGTTTGCGAATATTCGTTAGAACGATGGTTTCGGGAAACATCTTCATGTTGAACTATGCTGATAACGACAGAGCTTGCGACCATAGTTGGCTAACCATGCTTTTGTGAAACGCACCCCAGTGTGTTACTGACAGACTGGGTAGAGAGGTGCTGCAACAATGAAATATGCGAAAAATAATGTTTTTTGAACATTAAAGCATGAAAACCTGTTCTAATTGACCCTAAGACTTAGTAAAACATTTTTAATGACATTTTTACCCTTACCCAAATAAACATGAACCTTGAGAGAAAATTCAAAAACAAGTCTTGATTTTTTTTTTTTATTGTTTAATATGCACATACAAGTAATGTGAAATGTTACAACTTTTTATGTATTATTACGTAGCTGAAGAATAAGGATCACTGAAGGTGAAAGGTTTGTGATTAGCTTTTTAGCTAAACGTTCAAAATCTGGATTCTCAAACTTCAAAGCCTACAACATCTACAATAAACGCGAGTTCAAAATGATGTTATATTTACACTTAATAAAAACACTCAAAAGTTTTGAAATTTCAATTACATATTGCAAGTACAATACACCGATAAATGAACAGAAATGTGTCATTCCAGTGTGCAAACTCAAACTTTATTGAAGTTTCTGTTTCCTACAAGCACACAATCATCAATGAGAACTAAAGAGAAAAGCTCCTGCGCTGATGAATGGGCTTTATGCCCAGCTGCACTACTTCCTGAACTTCAGCCAGCTCATTGTTTCCTGTCTGCCATTATTGGCCAAATTGATTAATTCAGGTGTGCTTGACCTCAGTAGTCATGGCAACAATAATCAGACACACCTGAATTAATCAATTTGGCCAATAATGGCAGACAGGAAACAAGAAGCTGGCTGAAGTTCAGGAAGTAGTGCAGCTGGGCATAAAGCCAATTGAGTAGAAATCAGAACTGGGATCATAGAATCGCCAGATCCAATCATGGTTTTACCACCACTGTGATATACAAAAAGCAAAAGATCATTTTCAATACTTTTGGTCAAAAAATAGAAAGGTCCTAACATTTTGGTCTTTTTGTTCTTTGAGTTAAAAAATATATCAAATAAAATGTTTTCCTAAAGTATTCCTGAGTAGGGCCAAAGATTCTGAGCACTGAAAAATATCCAAATGCTTCATTTACCTGATGAAAACTAAATTTGGTGATTACCAATAAATAAGAATTTCACTAAAAAAATGTCTCTTCATTTTCACACAATCTTTACAATATAACGGTAAAGCTTGCGATATGACCCAATGAAAACATAAATCACTGTGTGTATCATTCTGACCGATGATTGTTCCTTGGTAACTGGGTGCAGAAACGATTTCTTACGCGCATGGGTCAAGGTCAAATGTAATGCTACCAGCGATGGTAATCAAACGCACATAACCACAAACTCCAATACTGACATATTGTTGGTGCACTACGGCAGTACACATGCAGGCGTTATTCAATATTTTGGAGAACACAGTAAAGGCAAGGAAAAGAGTTCAACAGTGGAGGGCCAACCTGTGTAAAGGTGCGGTCACATTTCACTGGCAAAAAAATCTCCAATGTCAATAGAGTGCCTAAAACACAGCTCACACAGAAGCCACTTTCAAAGCAAGCAGCCTACCGTTAGTCATCCACATGAAATCTGCGTGAAGAACTCTCTTACTCGCACGAAATTCCTGCTCATATGAAGCTTTTGGTCAACGCAACTGATTCACGTGACCGACTTGAACAGGCGAAATTGAAATGACAGGATTTGGCCGAGCAACGGTAAATGTGACCGCACCTTAAAGCTATAGAAAAATATTCAATTCAACTTGTCAGACTACACCACATCCCAAAGTGATGCTACTCTAAAAGAGCTCACAGCAACAAGCAATTCCCACAGGGACAATGCGTCATAGGTCACGTACGTGTTCGATCATCTCGAGGGGAATACCGAATTAACAAATGTGAGCGTGAGCTCAGGCGACATTGATTATTCAGGAAATGAGCTCAGTCCTTCGGTTCCATCTCTGTACATCCCACATAAAGGAGCTTTTCTTCACACAGGGATATGGATATTGTGATGTCATTAATTGAGGACTTAATTGTCATGCTAATCCAGTTTGAGAGGAGGAGGAAGAAGAGAAAGGCTTTTCTTCACGTCTAATCGTCTTAGCGCTGCACCGCACGTCTCATTTCTCCCTGTAATACAGCAGATACATCTTCAGGGGTTCAGGTAACGGGAGTCTTAGGATCTTCTCCCTCAGGATATTAACGGGAGGCTCCACACGAGCGCAGCCGCTTTTGCTTTTCTCCTCTTCCGTGCCGGAGGATTCCTCCTCGTCCTCCTCGGGTAGGTCTTCTCTCATTCGGCGGCAAGCCCTTTCCTCTTCCTCCTCCACTTCCTCTTCGTCCTCTTCAACTCCTCCGGGGTAGTTGCAATCGTCCATGGCTGTGGGAATCATGGAGTCGTGGAGAACCATGGAGTTGACGCACTGGCGGTAGAAGCGGCGACAGAAGCGGCGCCTCTCGAAGCGGGGCCCGTAGCGGTGCATGGCTCGGGCCCCTGGGAAAGACACCCGTCTCTTTGTGCGTCCTTCACCCATAGCTATGGGCTGCCGGAGAGTGTGGCGGATAGCGATCCGGCACAGGTCCTGCAATGTCCGCACCTCAAAAATGGCTGGAAATTTGGAAAAACATAGGAAGGAAGATACATTTTTATTTTTTTCCCCCTATCAAATAATACTTTCTTATTTAGCTTTTATATAAGTGTATTGCAGTGTATTTGGCTTCTATAAATAAATCAGAAAAAAAAAATCTTGTTTTGCCAAACATTCTTGATGTGAACAGGCCTTAAGTCTCATCTATTAGTAATTGATTATTTAGTTATAAAATTGATGATTTACTAATACACACACACAAAAGTTTTGGATCATTAAGATTTTTATGTTTTTAAAAGAAGTCACTTCTGCTCACCAAGGCTGTCGATACAAACTATTCCACATTTCAAATAAATGCTGTTCTTTTGAACATTCTATTCATCAAAGAATCCTGAAACTGAACAACAAACACAAAACTGTTTTCAACATTTATAATAATAAAAAAATGTTTCTTGAGCATCAAATCATCATATTAGACTGATTTCTGAAGGATCATGTGACACTGAAGACTGGAGTAATGATGCTGAAAATTCAACTTTGATCACAGGAATAAATTACTATTTTAAAATATATTAAAATACAATATTTTTCACAATATTTACTGTTTTAATGTATTTTTTTTTTTAATCAAATAAATGCAGTGTTGGTGAGAAGAGACTTCTTTAAAAAAATTCTTACAGATCCAAAACATTCAAAAATCTCTACAGCAAAAGGTCAAGCACTACATGCATTCGGTTTGTTTCTACCATTTATTAGTAATAATTTACAGTTTGTTTATTACTTACTATACCGAGCATTCAGTATTGTGCAATATAGCATACAGAAGGTGAGGGTCATTTTTGAGGGGAAAGAAGTGCTGCATTTTTATCATTTAAACGTGATTTTTCATGAAAATTCTCCAATCCATGATTGCCGCCACCATATGACGTCACAATATGCAAATTAGATGGAAAAATGTAATTCCTACATAAACTTTGGGTCATCCTTGATATTTCTCTTATTTACAGAAAGTCTCTAACTGTCATCACTTTTAATATCGGAAATCAAAAATCGAATGTTTTGGGAAAATTCATCTGGCGCCTAAAGGGTTAAAGGGATACTCCAATTTTTTTTTGGAAATAGGCTCATTTTACAACTCCCCCAGAGTTAAACAGTTGGGTTTTACTGTTTTCGAATCCATTCAGCCAATTTTCTGATATTTAGAAGAATATCAGTAACCAGACAGTTTCTGGTCTCATTGACTTCCATTATATATATTTTTCCTACTATGGAAGTTAATGGGAACAGAAACTGTCTAGTTACTGATATTCTTCTAAATATCAGAAA